GTTCGAGAAGGCGGTTCATGTTACTCAAATATTCTTGAGCGGCCCGGTCTTGTTCTGCGTCGCTGAAGTACATTGTCGGGTTGAAGGTCAAGGTCGACGTGTCTTTATTTGTCTCTGCGCTCATTGTAGTTTCTCCCATGGTCGTAACTAAGCGGCGCTACCAACTATTATGAAACAGCCTGGAGCTGTCTCTTAAACTACGAGTAGATCGGTTTATAGATAGTTCAGCCTTAGTGGATAGGCCTAGTCTATCTGTCGTATTCTCGATGTCTAAAAAGTGTTATCCTTCTTCAGGGATGTCTCAGCCTCACGCTCCTTTATAGTTCGGAACCCTTCTATACAGTAGGTGAGGGGTAACCCCGATCAGGAATGTTTAGACTCTTCGTCCTTCGTATTATACAGGATGCCCAGAATCTATAATCTGGCTCATGTCGTATCATAACAAATGTCGGTTGCGGCCATACCACGGAGAACACACTGTTTCCCGTCCGATCAACGTTAGTTAAGCTCCGTAGGGCCACACTGAGTAGTGTAGTGGGAGACCATATGCGAAATTGTGGTGCTGCAATCTTTTTGCAAATATTTGATGTTTTGTTTTATCTTTTCAACAGGGCAATATTATCAAGTATACAAATCTAAAGGTCATTAGTGTCTCTACATAAACATCCAGCAGCTGTATCCAAAAAAGGGCAGTACGCCGTCTTTGGTCGGTGAAAATTCTTCGACCTCGGACTAAACGACTAGCCGCTAGTCCTGCACTCGAGTGAATCACGTGATACAGGGCTGTCGCGATTTATGTTGCCAGTCTTCTATGCGCGTCTGGGCAAGTGGTCTTCTCATCAGGCTCTCATAATTCTGAATTTGCCGAGAATTCCCTCCGCGCTTGTTTCTTATATTTTCAAGTGATTACCAATATAAGTTATGCTTTATAGTAATTCTCTTTTCAATTTGTCTCCCAATAAATGTGTTCTCGATTTTTAGGCTTCGATATTTTGTGTCTGTTTTTGACTGTTATCAAATATTGCGTATAATTCGAAAAAAACCTAAGAGGGTATCTTTTGCAAATAATGCGTTTAAATACAAAGAAAGCCGCTTTAGTCAAATATTTTAAATCATCAAGAGTGCCGTGAGAGATTTTGGCTACAAAGCGACATCTTATATTAAGGCTCTCAATTCTAAAATGACGCAAGCGATCGTTTCTCTGTTACTCTTTGTATCCTGAAGGAGGTGTGTACGTTTATTGAAGCCGGTCAATAGAAAAATGCGGAGATTGTGTGAATTTCAAAACAAGGCCATTAAATGAAATCTACTGGAACGTGTAGGATCAGAAAGAAATTTTGTAGAAACTGTCACCGCATGTGAGGGTTCTTCTACATTGATCTCGCGGTATATGGGGAATGTACTTCCAGATAACACGCAGAATGTATGGGAAGGGATCGGCATATTTTCAAAAATGCATGTTCTCCTTCTCATCTCTTCGGATGAGCCATGATAATGTTGCGACTGCGAATGACCAAAACGGCATACTGGAGCATTGTGAGGGTATTCTGAAGTTTCTCTACAATTGTGTGAAAAACACCGAAAAATTTTCTCCAAGAACTGACTGATTCTATGAAAGTCAAAAGCTACTCGAGCTCTGTGAAACGATAACGGGTGATCGAAGAACTGGAGCAATCCCGCAGCCAGGAACACCGCAAGTATTTCTGTTCTCTTGTTTGAGTGCTTCTTTGAAAAATCTCCTCATAACCCCTGAGTGGCTTTTTTTTTTCTACATAGGAAATCGTCAGAAATTGCATTCCGAAAGCCTCTAAAGAAAATTTGACAAGCTCGTGGACAATATACGACAACGTTTAAGCGCAGTTGATACAAGTCACTATTCCGTGATAGTGCGTGAAGATACCGACTGTGTCAAAATTGAAAGATAGTTCAAGAGCTGATTCATGAGGGACAAGTAGGTGGAAGTAACGCTTGAGAAAGGGGGCAAACTTACGGGGTGTAGGTGGTGAGTATTGAACTGGCGTGGAAAGGCACTTGATTTCAGAAATTGAAGCTAGGTCTTGGCTATCTACCTCAGGAGAATCCCTCCAAACTCTTTGATCATATTACGGAGAAATGAAGTTTCCCCTCTTCAGTGCTGTGACTTCAAAAATGAAAAGTAGCTATCTTGTACATACGGTAGAGAATACAAGCACAGCAATTTTGCCCTTGGATTCAAAAACTACAATCGGGAATAGCGAGCCGAGTCCCCCAGGCTTTCAGGAATAAATAAGGCTGCTATCAATTTTGGTCCTCAGGACGAAATCTGGCACAGGTGCAGCTCATACTGCTAGTAAAGTGACCTTAGTCGCAAGAACTAAGATAGCTATTACATACAGAGGAGTGTTTGGTACACAGTGACCTGAATAATTTCGGTGAGGAAGCTATAGTCATATCCATATAGTGAACAATACGAAATGATGACATTCTGGCAAATGCCTCGCAAAATATGAGGATTCAATGGTTTGACGATCAGCACGCTGCGTGTGGGTATTGCGGATATAAAAATTTTGGATGACCAACCTGGAGCTTAGCAGTGTGCATTCTAGTGAAAGTGTTTTGAAAGAGTAGATCAAGACACCAAAGTCGCCACGATTCCAAATAATTGTTGGCTGTATTGAATATCTGTTAGATAATTCTGTTCGCGGCTGTCAAGCTTGGCCAAGAGATGATTTGGACCGAGTAAAGGGCCAATAATAGCGGGAAAATCAGAGAGAGCTTTATAAATATGCCCGAATTGCAAGGCCTGACCTTAAATAAAGTATTTGTTTGTGTTGCGTATATGTCCATGTTCATGTCATCACCAGTTGATACGGGGAGTCCCTTTCTATTGGAAAAGAAGGTCTTTCTGTTGATTCGGAAATATACGATGTGATAAGAAATTAGAAAAAGTCTTAAAAAACGGGCCTCACTGAATCAATGAGAAGCACGGTTGTATCAAAATCTTCCGGCACATTTGGAGCATATACTTCCACAAGAGGGTGCTGACATTAAATGATTACATGAAACAGGCAAGCCAAGTAAAATAAACAAACAAACAAAATAACTAGAAATAGACAAAAAGAGGCAAATACAACAGCAACAAATAAACAAAATAATAAACGGGGCCTCGAAATGAATTGTTCTGTTTGATTCAGCAAGCAACAAGTGTGTCCCATTTCAACGAGGCAAAATAAATCTCACGGGTTTCATTAGCCCCGCAATGTCCGCTATTCAATTTTTTTTCACGATGGAAGAACAGCGAATCATCATAAGGTTTCACGTCCCAAAGAGTTTGGGGTTCTTACTCATAAAGTCCTTTCAATACCTCAATGGGCGAAGAAATAGTATTGTCCCCAGTTTTGACAAAATGTACAGAATTGGAAATAGGGAAATGAAAATAGCTACTACAAGGGCATGACACTGAACAGCAAATAGAAAGTCATGACAAAACCCATTTTCTCGTTGCTCCGCATCTCCGCAAATCTCGTGTACCATGAGGGGCTCTTGCGCTTGGGAACTGTTGGCGAGATTCGAGTCATTCTTCTCGGCTAAATTTTCCTTGCGCAAATCTACGGTGCGATGGTTTTGTGATGCCATCGCCATAGATTTCCCGCGCAGTGACAGCCTCGCCAAGCGTTCCTGTCACGTGTTGTCAAAACGCCGTGTCACTTCCCCGGCATTATGTGCACACCTGAACCAGCACCCCAGATACTCAATATTATCGGGAAGCAAAGAATGCGGTGCGTAGTCTCCGCTCAAAAACCAGTATATAGGGGAAAAAGAAACACATTACAGGGTCCAGGGGGTATCACTAGAGCAGTGTATTCAGAATCTAGTCTGCTCGCTTGTCTGTAGTCCGGCATGCAGAATGACTGCTTTCCTTTTTCGGTGCGATCACCCGCTATCTACTTTGATGCGCACCTGTCCTTATCTTACGGAGTTGATTAATGTTGGCAGAGATAAATCATTTTGCTCAAGTCTGGGCTTGATGTGTTTCTGCCTGTAATGGTTGCGTAATACCCCACAAAGTGGAACGAACGTGCATCGGACTCTTGGTACGGCGAAATCCACCCGCGCAGTACTCAAAAAGCAAACCCAGACATTTTATGTGGGGAGAGACCCCATTCGTAGAAGAAATTCGACCGCCCCATGCTCGTGGCCGTCTAGGTGCAGTACGATGCTCGCGCCTCTTTATCTGTGCATGAGATAGCCGAAAGCAGTGACCTTTTTATTATATATATCTACAGGTTCTGTTGTCACCAAATGTTCGTTTATTTTCTGGTCAAACTCCAGCGCCTGAGACTCTTAAGTTTAATTCTTCGGTCATCAGAAAACTCTATATTCTGCAGAGCCCTCTGGCATTTATTCCTGTGCCCTCCAAACCACAGACAATTTCTATCAAGTCTTATAATTTTCGCCCTAAGTACCCAGAATGGTGGACTTGGAGCCGCTGACTTCGCGGCCCTCCATCTACCGGAGCAACTCCGCCTATGTTGATTTCGAAATCTCCAACGCCAAAATCGTCAATGTCGATGAGAAAGGTCATGTGCTTTCCGAAAACAACTCCATCGTGTCCTTCCCAGAGGAGGACTTGAAGAAAGGCTTGAAAAACAGACACATCCAATTGATTGCCTTGGGTGGTGCCATTGGTACGGGTCTTTTTGTGGGGTCTGGTGCCGCTTTGTATATGTGTGGCCCCGCCGCTCTCTTTTTGTCGTATATCATCTTGTCCTTCGTGGTGTGGTTTGTCATGAATATGTTGGCCGAAATGGCCACGTTCTTGCCCGTGCCTGGTGCCGGTGCCCAGCAATTTATCAATGACTACACCGACCCATCCATTGGCTTTGCGCTCGGTTACAACTACTGGTACGGCTTCACGTTTTTGGTGGCTGCGGAGGTGGTTGCGGCGGCGTTGATTATTCAGTACTGGACCACGGAAGTGAACATTGCCGTGTGGATTTCCATATTTTTGGCGTTGGCCGTCTTCGTCAACATGTGTCCCGTCAAGGCTTACGGAGAGGTGGAGTTCTACTTTTCCGGAATTAAGTTGGTGTCCATCACCGGGTTGATTATCTTGGGCGTTGTGTTGTTTTTCGGTGGTGGCCCCAACCACGACAGGTTGGGTTTCCGCTACTGGACAAACGGCGAGGCGTTTCACGAGCACTTGGTGCCAGGGAGCACGGGGCGCTTTTTGTCTGTATGGACTGCCCTCATCAAAGCCGGATACTCGTTTATCATGAGTCCCGAGTTGATTGTTGCCTGTTCTGGAGAGACCTCCAACCCCAGAAAGGCGTTGCCCAGGTGCGCCAACCAGTTCGTGTACCGGTTGGCGTTTTTCTACATTTTGGGGTCCTTGGTCATTGGTGTGATTGCCGACTCGACAAGCGAGCTGTTGAACGGCTCGGGCAGTGACGTGTCTGCTTCCCCCTTTGTGCTTGGAATCCAAAACGCCGGAATCCCGGTGTTGAACCATATCATCAATGCCGTGGTGTTGACCTCCGCCGCATCTGCAGGAAACTCCTTCTTCTACGCCAGTACCAGAACCATGTACTCGCTTTCGAAGAAAGGCTTGGCCCCCAAAATCTTCACCACCGTCAACAGGTGGGGTGTGCCATACTACTCGGTGATGCTCACATTTGTTGTGTCGTGCTTGGCGTACTTGAATGTCTCGTCATCCTCCACGCAGGTGTTTGCCTGGTTCTCCAACCTCACGACCATTTCCGGATTTGTGTCGTGGATCTTTGTTGCCTTTGCCTATATCAGATGGAAAAAGGGCATTGTGGCGCAGAACCTCGAGGACCGTGTGCCATACAAGACTTGGGGCCAGCCATACGGCGCATACTTTGTGATTATTTTCATTGGTCTCATCTCCATCACCAACGGATACGCGGTGTTTTTTGACTTCAATGCCGCCGACTTCATTGCTGCATACATCACGTTGCCTATTGTGTTTTTCCTCTACGTTGGCCACAGATCGTATTCCTACTTCTACCTTGGAAGAAAGCGCTGGCTCAATCCTCCTGAGGAGTTTGACTTTTCCAAGTTGGAGATGGTGGAGTACGAGCACAGCCAGATAGTGGAGCCTGAGCGCAAGGAACATTTCAAGAAGCTCAAGGAGTTCAAAATCTTCAAGTCATCTGTGTAAAGGCCAGACAAATTTTGCATCCAGGGCACACTCATATCTCGCTCAAGATATACTGGAAAAGTTTAGCCGAGGCTTTTGCACATGCTATCACGACAGCCAATGAAGCTCACTATGTTTGGTTTTATAAGCGAATAGATTTATTTAGAAACTTTTGAGCCCAGCAGATGGTGCTGTCAGTTTGCATTTTCCACGTTCTATCTAGTCTTAAATTCAGCTCTAATTGAATTTAATATTACTTACATATATCTATTTGATCCAGAATCATAATAAAAAAATACCTTTCTGGGCACCTAATGGACGGAGTTTTACATTCGCTCTTCCTGAGAGGTGCGTGTTGGGATTATTAGGAATGTCTTCGCCAATGAGCAATTTAGACACAAAACGGTATACTTTCGACCGAGATGCCAGAGCACATTAAAAGTACGTGCGCTTCTTCTGAGATCACGGTATTGTAACCGCAGCAAATTAATAAGCACACTTGATTCGTACTCGACGTTGTATTGTGCCCGCAAGAAAGCAGATAGAACACCCGATCAAAATGCGAGGAGTATAAAGGTGAATATTGAATTGTATTTTTTTTTTCGTCTATTCAAAGAACTGCAACACATGGCCTAGACTACTAGAAAAAGCTTCCGTTGGCCTGCGGGAAATCCCAGCACCTCAGTGACGAACAAAACATATCTGTTACCCCGCCATACGGAGTGTACATAAAGTATTGCATGGTTGTACTCTAATATCTAACCCCGCTGGTCTTTTCTTCGGGACACGCATCATGCATACTATCGAGCTATTATTCCTATTCTGATTTGACGAGGCTCTCCGCAACAGTAATATAATCATGAAGGGTGTTAATTGCTCGAACCTGAATGCACACAGTGTAAAATGATCTAATAGAGTCACAGCTTTGCCGAGTTAAAAAAGCCTCATACAAGTTTAGTGATCCACATTACCTAAGCACAGACTATTTATTTCGGCGGGGAAGTGACGTTAAGGAGCACCAGGCTTCTCACAGATACAATAAATTGTAAAAGAACATAACTTGGCGACAGGTCTTTCGGATCTGCATTTCGTTTTCAGCTCGGGGCAAGCTTGCAAACTGTTCTGTAGTCTTTCTTCTGCTTCATCAGCTAGATGTCTCGTTTCAAAAAAATTGGACGAGTCCGGATTTGAACCGGAGACCTTTCCCATGCTAAGGGAACGCGCTACCAACTGCGCCACACGCCCTGACTGGTCCCTAGCAGGATCGAACTGCTGATCTTGGCGTTATTAGCACCACGCCTTAACCAACTGGGCCAAGGGACCTTCTGTGGTTTGAGTGAGTACCTGGATAAATATACAATCCCTTTGTGAGTTACAAAGTAGTTAGCTAATCGGTTCACCAAACGAATATACTGAGTATCACGGTCAGTTTAAGTGTAAAGTGTGGGTTTTTAAAATATCCTTGGGAAATGCTTCTAAAAAACCGAAAAGGGAGCTGTTTAAACTCAACCTGATTGAAGGTATCAAACTTTGCTACCAACGAGTCCAACTACAAACAATGAAGTACCATGCGTTTGCAGATGACGTCAACATATATCTCAATGATATAGAAGACTACCAAAAAACCGAAAAGATAATCACAGCTTTCGAGCGAGTGAGCAATAGCAAAATAAGCTATGAAAAATCTAAACTTCTCGGATTCCATCGAGGCTACCCCAAATTTCAACAAGAATATCTCCGATTCCCCAAGTCTTATCTTTTCAAAGACCTCACGACATACTTGGGTATTCCAATAAAAGAGGTCAACTAGACAAAATTCACAGCCAGCCTCCCATTCATGACCCGACAGCTGGGATATCAGAGCCTCGACTTGTTCAGCCGAGTATTGGGGACAAACATCTTTGTCAGTTCCAAAACGGTATACAAAGATTTGATTCAATGTATGACCGCCAGAGAACTCGACAAAATTGATTTCAAAATACAGACAATGTTCCCAGGAATCCACAAGTCTAAACTTTACGCGAGACCTCGCAACGGAGGCTACAGCCTTATCGAACTACTGACCCAACTTAAAGGGCATCTGGCAATGATGTTGACGGACACCCTCCAAAACAACGATAGCTGGTACACTCAGTATCTTAAAATACGAATACTTCACCACATGAAAAAAATCGTATCGAACGACGAACAAGTCAGGCTAAGACATATAGCCACCTCCGAATGGTATAACCTCTTGCTTGACAAAACGGGTCAATTCTTCACACTCTTGGAGTGGACCTTCACGAAAAACGAAATCGCCTATTTCGAAGCGTGGAAAGAAGTGGTACCTAGGACAAGTACTATACTGATACCAGGCGAAAGCTCAAAGTACAATCAGGAGCAGATCAAACAAATGCTAGCAAAAACTCCATACATCGACCAAGCAGAGAAAAAAGCTATTGGTAAGGAGACTTTCAAATCCTTAAGTCGCAAAAAGCAAGAAAAGCAACTCCCGATAATGCCACAACGCTTTGTTCGCTTGTCCCGCGGTCCGTCAGACTAAGAGGTGGAAATACTTTTGGAAAGTCTTGTATGAGGCAGAATGGATAAAGCGATACGATCTTTCGTCCATCCATCACTTCAATTACGGATCACATGTCTCGCGCAGGCCCCCACCGAGCGACACGGCAGATTTTCAATGCCATCTTTGCACAGCACAAATCCACAACGACGGAGACGCCACCGACGCTTTCCTAAGCCATATCTACAACAACTGCGAAACATCCAAATACTGGTGGCAAGAGCTAAAATTTACCAAGCCCACGAGCTTGAACTCAATGTTGGCCCCAGCCGACAACTCATTGGAGAATTTAACAAAATTAAATTGGTTCGTCACTACGATTTTCAAGGTATACACTCGAAGGCGTGGAGAGTCGCAGGAGGCTGGTTTCTTAAGTCTGCTACAGCCATCTGAGTTCAAGCAAATATTACAGGAGATTTAGTTTAGGAGTCGATGACGTAGAAACAATTACGTAACCTAAGGGAAGGGGACGGGCCAAGTTTCGATACTTTTAACGTAGCTCGAAGCTTTTAAAGGTCTCTTAGACATATTATTTATATAGTCTTGCTCCTTAAATTAGATGAATCTAAAAAAAAAGTATACCCTCTGGACGCTGCAAGTTGAGGAAGCTGAGCTCCTTATGTTCTCCCCAACCATCTGAATTGAAGAGAGTACTACAAAAGGCTTATCATATAAATTGATGTCTATGACATCGACAGATAAGTGCTAAAAAGACCGCCAAGGCTGTGGCTTAAAAATGAAAGTGGCTTGTTTTGATCCTGGATGCATGTTTAGGAGCTGGTTGAGTTTTGAAGGAATACCAGAAAGGTATCGAAAGTATAGTGCGCATTTAAATACCAATTGAACGTATGGCACGAGCTATAATACAAATCTGCACGAAGAATGGGGCATACGTTTCCAAATGAGCTTAGAATCAGCACTTCCAGATGCATGATAAAATCACGGGATATTCTGGCAAGAAAAGTGCCAAGCTTATCTTTCATTGTTTTCCAGGACGGCCTAAATTTCTCGCAAGGCGTTACTGAAAAGTTTATATTTATCTTCTGTTGTTTGAGAGGTAAAACTTACCGGTGAAATTCGGCCGATAAGGGTAACAAAACTAATTTGAGATATTCCCTGTTTTATCCCACCATATGTTTTTGCTTTTGTGGTCAAATTCATTCGAGATGGTGTATTGCTGCTCTTTGTATCAAGATTATTGCCCTTAGCTAGATACAGTTATATAAGCATGCGTCTTTTCTAAAGGTTTTATATATATATATATCAGCTGTATAAATTTGCACCTTTAACAATATGAATTCACCAAAGAAAAAAAAAACTTCTCAAGAGTAGGCGCAATATTCCCAATCAACTGTTCAACGTGTTTTGTGTCGCTGGAGAAACAAAAAAAAGTTGTGCAAAGCGGCTTTCGAAATTTTGCATAAAACTTTCAAGCTATAGGTATTTATATTTTTGGGTTTTCAAACATGGTCCCAATTCAGTTGATTTGTTTGCACGAATCTCAAGATACAAGAGACCAATAATATGGTTAACCAAATGACCGATAACCAATGGGCCAAGCAAAAGGACATGTAGATTTCTCAGAATTCTCTTACCTGATCCATAAAGACTAGTAGATCTTGGTCTTTGAAAATTGCTAAAATGCTCAAATTGCACTGGACTAGTTGTATATTGTCAAATGGAACTCATCTCTTTTCCATTCACCTCTCACAAAAACGTATAAGAAGATCGGCTTTATATCCCCACTAGCATCGTATTCAGAGGTAATAGTGAGGACTGCTGGAATTAATCTGGAGGATATTTGACTGACCCGGCTTCTGGTAGAAAAAACTCCCAAAAAATGACGGTTTAACATTAATATAATAATTGCATGAAGATTCTCATCCGCCCCAATCCCGTTCTAGGCGTCCACCTTGGCTCGCCAATTAGTTCCCACGTGACAACCAATTATCTTTTAATACAGCTATCTAAGGAGATATGCAAAAATAATTATAAGATGCTGAACTGCTCGATGGATACGACTGACCAAGACCCACTAAGCACACGAATAGGCGCCGCGCATATGACGTACGTCGTCTCCGCGGACCACGTGACCGACACCGGAGCCATTCACCAGCGTGGCCCCAGATCACCACATATATAAACTCTTCCCTGGGCTCCAGCTAGCGACATCACATTTGAGAAGTGAATATAGCCTTGGGTCTCAGTAATATATACATATATACCTAGACATATCAAAACTCAAGTCCGAAATGCCTCTTTCTGTCTCGTCGTTGGAACAGTGGTCGGCGGCTATGGCCACTGATTTGCACACCCAATTGGGTGCTTCTGTGCTAGCCAACTTCAATGCCGACGAGGCCTTGATTGACCGGGCCACTGTCATCAAAAACACCACGTCGGTTTTCAACACTAAAATCGCCGTGGAAGGCGCTCCCGTAACCAACCAAAAAGCCAGTGGCAGATGCTGGCTTTTTGCAGCCGGCAACGTGCTCCGGGTCCCCCTCATGGCGAAGTTGGCTCTCAAGGAATTCCAGTTTTCGCAAAGCTACTGGTTTTTTTACGACAAGTTGGAGAAATGTAACTTTTTTTTGGAGCAGTTTGCGGCCAACATCGACTCCACGCCAGCCGAGGGCTTGGACTCCCGGCTCAATCTGTACTTACTTACCGACCCGACATGTGACGGGGGCCAGTTTGACATGTTTATCAACGTGGTCGAAAAATATGGCATGGTGCCTTACGATGCCTATCCAGACGCATACAGTGCCACGGCCTCTCGCACATTGAACTTCATGCTCAAGACGAAATTGCGTGAGTTTGCAGAGATCTTGAGGGGTGCCCGTGCACAAGGCGCCGAAGCAGTGGTGCAGCACTTGGCGCAAATGCAGCGGGAAATCCATCGCTTGATGGTGATGTTTTTGGGCCAGCCCCCACACCCAGATCAGCACATGACATGGGACTACAAGGATAAAGACGACCACGTGCAGGTGCTAGAGTTCACGCCCATGCTGATGTACAAGAAGGTGGTGGGCGTGGACTTGACGCAGTGGGTGTCGCTCTTGAACGACCCCAGAAACCCGTACGAGTGTGTGGTGAGAATCGACAAGTTGGGCAACGTCTCGGGCGGCAAGCTGGTGTCGTACTTGAATGTGGACATCGACACGTTGGCGGCTTATGCGGTGCAGCGGATCCAGAACAATCACGCAGTGTTCTTCGGCACCCACACGCCCATCTACATGGATAAGAAGCGCGGCATCATGGACGAGGGCTTGTTCAATTACAAGCTTGTTGGCTTCGAGTCGCTGCAGAGCAAGGCCAGTAGAATCGAGTATCAGCCATCGCTCATGACCCACGCCATGGTGCTCACTGCAGTGCACTTGGACAAGCTGGGAAACCCGGTGCGCTGGAGGGTTGAGAATTCCTGGGGCAAGGACTCGGGCCAGGACGGCTACTACGTCATGGATCACCAGTACTTCCGCGACTATGTGTACCAGATTGTAACGGAGAAAGCGGAGTTGGAGGAAAAGCACCAGGACGCTTTGCTGTCTGAGCCCGTGGTCTTGCCACCATGGGACCCCATGGGGGCGTTGGCCACATTTCAGAACGAGCCAGAGATGGTAGCATGAACAGCCGTGTATTGTCTGATCGGGAAAGTTCAGAGTTTTTTCTTGGTTCGGAGAAATCAATGAAGTAGGCTGGGGGTATGATTCAGGCCAATCGGATCGAAGAGAGAAGAGATGTATACAGCCCCGGTCAGCTCATGCGTTGTGGCACCTTCTTAATGTCTCGAAATATACACACGGGTTTGAGCAGACCAGCCGTCGCTGGAACTTGAATGTTACATCAAGAACTCTTGGCGAACTGGTTTTCGAGTCTGGGCTGGATTGAAAGGCTCAGCTTAATAGAGCCCGATTCGGCCATAGTAAAGTCAGCCATGGCCCAACTAGTACTGGATTTTGCCGATTCGTCGCATGTTAAGATGTGGAACATATTCCCTTAAAAATTCTAGACTCGCAACAGAACACCCAACTAGTGAAAGATCGCCCGTGCAAAAGTTAAATTTGTCTGTGGTTGCCTCAAAGAATATTCCTTGAAAGTCATGTGCGTATGTCAGAGGACTCAAAGATTCCATGGGTTCCAGCCCCCTGATCTTGACTCAGCTCAGTATATCAAAAACACTTCTTGATATCAGCGACATTGTACCGGAATGAATGGGGAGGGCATCTGTAATTCGACTCAAGCCTAAACGACTTTTCATGCTCCGCAAATGAATTGCTATTTTCGTCCGCACCAAGGTTTGGTCAAAATTGTAACGTGTTGGTTGTTTGGCTACGATTTCATGTGAGGGGTCTTTGGGCTTAGTGAACATTTGTCCAGTGACTCTGATTTGTAAGCTGGGGTCCGGGGCGGTCCGCGTGAACATGTCCCTTGGCATTTCTAAGAGCTGCAAAAGCTCATTGAATGTCAAAGCAAAAGCTATACGAGCATCCTGCGAAATAAATTCTGTTAGCAGCTCAGCACTTTTAGTGACCTTTCCGGCGGGTTCTAGTAAAACTGGAGCTGAGTGGAGTAACGAAGAACGTTCCATTTTTAAGCCTTTTTCTACTCGTTACTCAATCAGCGGGTCCTGCTTAAGTTTTATAAAAACATGGCTTACCCTGTTCCCATGGGAAAAGGAAGAAAAAAGCCGAAGCCAAAAAAGCACAAGGCTGGGGGAGGCTTTGAAGGCCGTAACCCCAGTCAGCCGACAAAGCCTGTTATCATTGAAAAATTGATGATCTAGAATGAAAAGTAAACATGTTTGCCTAGTGTTATAAATTCAAGAGTAGACTGCCATCAATTTCCTTCTTGAAATTGCATTACCCTATTAAAAATTGCTCGAAGCCCTAGCGATTTGAGACGATAAACCTTCGTACACATGTCTAGTTATATTTTTCCACGCTGAAAATTTTAAAAATAAAATACAAGGTCAACACGTGTGACTTCATAATATGGATCATCTATCTCAGACTCCAGATGAATGGTCAAAGTCAGCCTTCTCAATGGCCAGGGTTTTTTTGCAATTCTGACTCCTAAGCACCGGCGAAACGGCAGGGTTACCCGCACCGTCGGGTGCTATATAATCTCTGCGAATTCCGTCAGCCTCGAGGCAACGAAAAATTATGCGGGATGAACCTTGTGAATTTGCACCAGCGATACTTGCTTGGCCAACACACACTTGGCCTCATTTCTTTAACTTTGTGACACTATCACATATCGAAACCGTATGTTTGATTCTATTCATTACAAGGATGATAAAACTACACAGACCTGATCTGACGAGAGCCCCTGGGTTCCAATGCAGACAAACCGTATTGCCTTTTTTTGCTGACGTGATGACCTTCCAGATTCTTCAGAATATTATACTAACAGATAGGACTCGAAACACTATCCAATGTCTACCTCTTTGGCTCGGAACTTTGCTTCCGAAACCTCCTCTCGTCAATTTCAGTAGTCCGTACTTTTCTGTAGCACCCGGAAGATATGGTTCCGGCGCCTCTCCTTATTCAAGCAGAGCTTTCAAAGGACATTACTGAGTCTTTGAAGTTGCACACGCCTGGCGAGTGCAGTGTCGAAACTTGGGTCTATGAAATCTCGCCCCAGTATGGAGAAACTTCAGTGAAGCTTTTTTTTGAACGAACGCAAGTCCTGTTTCTTTTCCGACAAACTGTGAAAGCAACCAGACATCCGTCTCTTGCAAAACCGATTGACCGCTCTAGTTTCACATGCACAGGTTTAGCAGCTCTGACTGCTCCAGTTCTACAGGCACGGGTCCGGCAGCTCTTGTACTATTCTATAAACAGAGTTCAACGTGAAATTGTATTGCTATATTTAGAGTCAGATAACTTACTTCTTGGCAGTCAATCTTCTCAAGTAGAAGGCCAACTCCTCACCCTCCAAGATGTAACCGTCACATCTACCGGATTGACCTGGTCTGGAAGAGACACAGGCGTACAACTTACCGGCGGTGAACTGGTGCTCGACGGCGTCCTCGATGTTAGCGGAGGCAGATCTGGAAGCCAACTTTCTCTCAACCTTCTTGGACTTCTTGACAGGCTCCTCGGTTTGGTTCTTACCCAAGACCTTACCGTAGTGGGTCTCGAACCATTGCTTGAATGGAGTGGCGTCGACCTGGACGATGGCAGACTTGGTCAAGGTGTTGGTTCTGACCAACTCGTTGTTGGAAGGGTGGTAGACGACAGTAGCAATTCTGGTCTTTCTGGCGACACCTTCACTGGCCCAGGAGAAGTTACCGGTCTCAACTCTCAAGGCTCTGAACTTCTTGTTGCCACCTCTGGTTCTGACGGTGTGGATTCTCTTGCCACCAATCTTGGTCATGGCAGGTTGTCTACCCAACTCGAACTTTCTCTTCTTTCTGAATTGGGCCCTCTTGGCACCAGTAGCAGAACGCTTGTGACGAGAGTCTCTAGAAATACCCATGGTCTGGAATGTTAGTACATTGTACGATGTAGATAGGCGTGGAACAGAAACGGACTGACATGGGTATTCGGTCTTTGTGATTTTGCAATACGGATGGCGAAAAGCACATCGGTCCGCATTATTGATTCTCTAGGTACATATCATGCATGGCGAAGGTCTTTTCTGTGCAATGCATTGGATATTATGCCGCTCGAGGATTGATCACTGATTTTGAAGGAATAGGTCGGCGGCTAAGAAAAACAGTTTAGAAAGAGCGGCGGGTATTTGTTGTAATCTAATAGTACCGCATATATGGTGGCAGTGTATCTTCGTCGAATCTCGTCGATGTTCTCGGCATGCTAAATGGTAGCGTTGGGTCACACATACTTCTTTGGTTACTGTCTAGTAGGAAGAAAGAAAAGAGAGACTTTTCTTAACTGTGCGAGGAGGATAGAAAAATTTGCAGCGAGAGCCCCCTGTGCAGGAGAGTATTCTTCGCAATCTGGGAGGCACGGGTGTATGGTCCACGCCAGGCGCGGCGCCCACACTACCGCGCTGGAAACGCGGTGGCAGCGGGCGGCGGATGAGGTCATCACGTGACGCAGACCCACCCGCGAGGCACGTGACTGCTAGGGCTGCAGCCCTGAGTACGCCCACGCACGCCCGGCGTTGCCGCCATTGCTGTTTCACAAATCCGGGACGCCCCTACGCTTGCTTTGAGGCAGGCGGTCAATTGTGTATTCTGAAACTTGGCGCGTGTGGAATCTTTAGCTTTTGTTCTTTTTGTGCACCATTTGAGGACGGGTCGTGAAAAAGCGTTTGCGGACTAACAGCAAGTGCACGCCTACCCCCTGAGTCCGCACTTGAAGAAGATGAAACACAAGCGGCCACTCATGAGACGATGGCAAGATATTTAAAAAGCACGGCCGCAGATCGGCACTACAAGCTTTTGTCTCCTAGTGGGCGTGTGTTTTTTGTTCGCTACAAAACCGAATCCCTATGTCGCTGCCCCTGTGTCACCGTTGTCGCAGCAGCACGCCATATCTGAGATCCCAAACCTTAATCTCGCAGGTCTCCTTTCTGTTTTAGTACAGATTGGAACGGCCATGCACCCCCGGGTACGGGTTTCGCATTGCGCTTGCAGGCCGCCTCCACATGAGGCTAGCGGTACTGCATCTCCGCCAACGACATGACCTTAGAGACGGAAAAAAAGAAATTCGCGCACCGTTGTGAAATTCACCCAGGGGGCACGGGCGTTTCCTCGGGCCTGCCCGCATGCTCATCTCATCGAAGTAGCCGATCGGTGGAGCGTGAGCATCAAGCCGTGAACAAGACCCCAGACGCCGTCTTTCAATAGGAAAAACACTCTGAATTAACCAAAAGGGCTTGGAACGCGACATTCTTTTTGAAGATCAGGCAAATTCCGGAAGATCACTCAGAAATTCAACCCCACACTTGACGATAAGCCATCGAAACGTGTATCCACGCGCGAAGATAAGCCAACACAACCACCGACAAAGCACGTCTGAAAACTGAATCTGACGGAGAACTCAATTGCCAGACGCAGCCACAAATAGCTTGGAAGCGGAGACAGACGCACAAGCAGCATGGAAACCATATACGATGAAATCGAGATCGAGGACTTTACCTTTGACCCGGTGACTCAGCTTTTGCAGTATCCATGTCCATGCGGGGACCGGTTTGCTATAGCCTTGGACGATCTTCGAGACGGCGAGAACATTGCAGTTTGCCCGAGCTGCTCATTGATGGTTCGTGTGATTTTCGAGCCTGAAGACCTCGACGATTTTGAGTGATCACGTGAGAGCACATGTATTTATCTGCATGTGTTGGATACCAGTAGATTGAATGGAGGAGGCCAAGAAAAGTCGAGACTCAAAACACCACTTAGGCATTGTTATTTGCGCGGGACAAAATGGACCCCTGGCTTCCGGAGCATGAAAGCAAAGGCCGGCCTAATTTTTTCTGGTTTTCTGACACCAGTTGGTTGACATGAGATCCGCCCGAGCACGTTATGTAGATTCTGTATTTCGGAATCCACCTTCCCCCAAAGCCGGATAATATATAGAAATAGGTAGGGAATATGCGCCAAGTCACATGATCTGCATTGCCGGATGTTCACTTTTTGCCAAGTTTCTTGTGTTCACTGCAAATGAGTTTGCGCCTATACCGAATGATTTTGCGCTCATTACTCAGGTTTTGCGCTTCCTACTAAAACTTTGCGCTTTTTCTAAAACTGTCTTTCGACCAAAGAATTATCTTACATGGCATTCGAATGCACGTTGAATGCCCCAAAAGGGTAATGCATTTCCGACTATTCCGATATAGCCGAGACAGGACAGCTGCATGACGCCGCCAAATTACAGGGTAGGTTTAGCCGGTTTCGACGCGCAGCGTGTTCGCACAAAGACTATGCTCATCTGCTTACCTGTGGGATGGACATGCGCACGGATATAGTTGCCGCGCCGCAATCGCGAGAAACGCAGGAAGCTAATAGGCGTCAGCTGTTTCATTTCTGCCTTGTATTCCTCTCTTCGTGTTCTGGCATCTCCGCAGGCAAATATGACCACTTTCTAGACTGGCGAGTTTATTGAATTTGGCGATTGCTGTGTGCCCGTTGATTTCTTGGAAATTAGCGGCTTGCATCAGTGACGTGGTCTGAGCCAACACTCAGCTATGCGTCTCTTATCCCGAGAGCCATGGAAGCAAGATATGGAAGCTACTGATGTGCGTGCATAATCAACGCCCTGTATTTCCATGATCAAAGGTTTTTTTTTGTGTTTTCTTGTTCGGCTTCCACCGAAATCTTCCAATCAGGCGTTGCACGACAATCTCATACAGATAAAATGTCGGCGGGATATATGCGAGCTCAGTGCAGACAGCAAACACAACCCTTCTTCTTTTTTTTGACACTTGCCATCACTAGAAGTGTCGTTGATAGCAACACATTGTAAGCGGGAAACTTGAGTTGTTGACCACTTGCTGATCATCGTTCCAGTGCCATCCAAGTCACGCTCAGACCTGGGGACTATTTTTTAAGTGTATTTCATTAACTTCCTATTTAGTGGCGGTGGCTGGTGCGCACCCGCAGCTGTCCCTACATATGTGATTACGAGTCGTGCCTCGCATGCAAGACGAGGTGATGCGCAAGCGGCTCTCCTTCAACCTATTTTTGACCCGAACGGAATCTCAACTGACTTTGGGTACGTTAAAACCTCATGGCTTCCTCGCGGTTGGAAAAGTAAAGCTAATTTTGACCAGTTTATAGTTAACTTGCTCCTGTTTTTTTTTTGCGCTATCACTTTAATTCGTTCCGCCACGTATTTCCAGCCTTTCAATTCTTCAGGACAAGCATTTGCGAGTCCTCCGCTTTGGCACCTCCTAGCCTTCCCGACGATAGCCTAATTAGCCTCCGTCCACACGTGTCCGAGGACCATATAGACCAAAGGCGATCTACGAGGCTTTTGGGAGCCCAGTATTAGAATTAGGCCGAAGCGACTCGTTAGCGTTGCAACACAGACCCGATTCCCAAGTCTACATATCGGGAGTCGCCTTTTGAGCCCGAAGCCATCCCGCAAACAAAGATCCACGGGAACGTCGACAGCTGATTGAGGAAGACCCCAGTTTCCTCCAGCGGCTTGCAGCATACTAACCCACCGGGGCTCTAGTGCATGTCTGAGAAGCGCCTCACATCCGTTCATATCTGTCCCCGTCAAGAACAGCCCGGATTCCCCGCATCGACAGAGGCCCGCTGAGAATCCCAGCCCAGAATGTCCACTGAACCACCTGCCAATCAGAGCGAGAATCAACACCGCACAAGCTTTTCGGAAGAGGAAGGACCCAAGCAACTGGATAGAACTGGCCCCGAGTCTCTGCGCCGGGGGCCCTGGAGCCCCGAGGAAGACCAGAAACTCATGGCCATCATTGCTCTTTATGGCCCCCTGAACTGGGTGCGGGTCTCGCTTCTGATCAAGACACGGTCCCCGAAGCAGTGCCGCGAGCGGTACCACCAGAACCTCAAGCCGCTGTTGAACCGCACGCCGATCTCATACGAGGAGGGGCTTTTCATCGAGCAGTTGGTCGCCAAGCACGGCAAGAAGTGGGCGGAGATCGCGCGCCACTTGAGCGGCCGCTCCGACAACGCCATCAAGAACTGGTGGAACGGGGGCGCCAGCAGAAGACGCCGGGCGTCACATGTCTCGCTCCCCCTTTGCCGGTCCACGCACCAGGCGTCCCTGAACCCGCTGTCGCTGCCGGCCCCGCCAATGGTCATGGGCCCGGAAGGGCTACATAAGCCCCTTTCTACCGGTGCCTCCAGCCCTAGTTTCCCCAGCAACGCCGCGCCGCAAAGGCTCATGACGCCGAACCCCCCGTTTCTCTATTCCGCAGGCCCGCCACATCTAATACCGCCGCCGGGGCCACAAGCATACACGCGGCCGGAGCCGCCGCTGATCGCTCCCACCATGAGGCCCGAGGTGAGCCCCAAGCTCTACCCGAAGGGCCCCCAGCCCGGCGAACTCGTACCCCCGGTTTTCAACAAGATTCCCAGCGTCCCGCACGTGACGTTCAACACGGCGATGTTCAATGAAGGTCTGCGCCGCGACCCGAAGCCGGACCTTCTCCGTCTGCGGTCGCTTGACTTTGCCCTGCACCGAACCCACGGCCCGGTCTTCACGCCGCCAATGCCACCTCTATCGGTGCCGTATCATGCAGGCGATGTGGGGGCCTTGCGCCACCACGGGTCCTGGGGCTCGGGAAGCTCGCTTGGCAGTTCCTACGGCGCCCCCCTGGCTGGCGCCCCGGGTCCCCCAGACCACTATGACCACACGCCCATGCGCCCGCTAGCGCCGGCACGCCTGAGCACGTCGTCGTCTACGTCGTCGCAGGCGCTGCGGCAGCTGCCATCTGGCCAAGATCTCGGAGGGCCAAACGTGCCTGTATACGGACGCCCTTTGTATGTGCCCGGCCCGGAGCCGCTCGGAACAGAGGAACAAGGGGTGGTCCCGCCGTTTGAGCTGTTGATGCAGAGTATCAGCACCCCGCAGCCGCAGGCGCCGCCGTCGACGGGAAGCATCCGTGTGTCGAAACTAATCAACTAATGAAGCCACCCGATTATCAACTAATCAGTAGACACACTGCCCGCCAATCAGTCTGGTTATCAACTAGTCAGAACACAAGTAGCCACGAATAAACCAATCAGCAAAGCCACCCCACCAAGCGCTCAGCATCGCAGCCACCCATACATCCCCAAACCCACCCCGACATTCTCCATAGCGGACGTCCTCTCCTCAACTGCACCTTTGGCTGTCATTTCAGCTGTTCCTCTAGCCGAATGCTCGGCCAAACTCCCGAGGGCTCTATACATTCTATGTAGCATGCGACGAATCCGGTAGCCTGGCGACCCTTGTGGACTGGCGCGGAATACCTATATTTTCCCGGCCGGTTTGCCCCAATAAAAGCTCCCGGGGGCCAGAAGCCAGATACTGATCAGAAACTTGTCATTTTTTGGGAAGCAGATAGCACCTGCTTGTTTCCTCGAAATTAGTTGGCCGGCTCGGCGCGAGAGAGGATCCCTCGGGGCGCGAGGAATCCAGTTTAGCCGCCCGATGCTTCAAGCTTTCCTTCCTTCTTTTTTTGTGCCCACAAAACTGATCTCGGGGGCAAAATCTATACACGTGACAGAGACTCATTAACTTGAAGACCGTCGTTTTTTTTCTGATTACCTGCCAAGCTACAGCTCTCTTTTGGCGGGAAGTTCTCGAGTTCGCAGCAATGCCGCTACTTAGCGCGCGCTGCTTCTTGGTAAAATGAAAGTATAGGCGTGCTGCAAACTACACCCTCTCTACTTCCCTACTAGGGGCTTTGTCACTCTTTTATATGAGTATTGATGGGAAAATTAAGGGCTACCCAAGGCGTGGTAATCATATCAGAAGTTGAAGAGACAAAGAAGCGAGAAGAAAAACAGACCGATGGGTCTCATTATGAGCCGTTCACGACCATTGGCCCCCCCTCTCGTACTTCGTCGAATTACTGCGGGAGACCTTACTGGAGTAATTGTCTGCAATTGCTGGATACACAGTTCCGGGTGGGACTTCCGACCCGAGTTTCAACCGAGCATATGGCGTGATGGGCGCTTAAACGTATGGCTGCGAGATTCAGCCGCGGTCTGGTATTCGCGCTTTTGACCTATCGAGAGCCGGATATCTGTAGAAAAAAAAGAAATATGGCGTGAGCCATCTAGACACGCGTCCTTGGAATGGGAGCAAGGCGGACTTCCATTTTCAACAACAACCAGACACCCTTTCTTAGACCCTGTGCGCAGGTCGGCTCATTGGTAAGCCGAACACCTGAACTTATGCATGAGGGGTTAATACGTGAGGCGTGCTCATGCGGATGGCCCGCAGCTTCCCCCATTCGGCGACGTTTTATCCACATGGGGTTGTTCCCCTCGTCCCGTTAAGACATACCTCTCGCGTAATGTTTGAAGTGGAAACGTACCTGTATCAAAGTCACCAGCTCGTTCTCTGATTTTGCATGGCGGCGCTTTTTGCCCTCGCTTGTTAGAACCCGAGAATTTACGTTTACCGATGTCGGCCACAAGATAAAATACAGTAACTTTAAGAGGGCCTCTACCGCCCGAAGTCTTGGTATTTGTGGACAACAACGCACTTGCTCTCTAATCTACCGCCAACACTATTCCAGAATTTTCATGCATAAACCACGTGTTGAACCACTTTCGACTTTGCCTAACCGGTAGCGTAAGGGATGTTTGCAGATACGAAGACCTCGGATGTTTCGCCAAGGCGAAGTAGACCTCTCTCGCGTACCGAGGAGTGCGCACTACTATCAGTCGCCTCTAATCACGTTTCGCCACAAGCCCACTGCCGTTCGCACGCATATACTCCTATCCACATTTGTCACGTACAGGCGTATCGCATACATGCGGTATGTACAGAGCATGTGCATGAAGATACGAGTTTCAACGGAGCTAATACGGCCGAATGTCTGTATGTATTGACTAGGTGATAGATGGTCTCTTATCTCACAAAAAACTGGTTGCTGCCGGAATGCTGATCACTTGTCGAGCCTTAAGCTTTCAGCGAGGGCATTCCAGACCAAAGGGTCTCCAAATATTTTGTGCTCTCACTTCCCACGGTCGCCAGTTGAACTACCCCGCAATCGTGGGTTTGTAAAAGTTCAGTTCACATCACGCCCTGGAAAACTAAGAGCTTTGCTGGAGAGAAGCGTTGAAGATTTGGGCAAATGAACTTGCACGGGCTATAACCCATGGGTTTCGATATGTACAAACCATTAGTGTATCTGGGGAACAGCATACCTATCTTTGAACCTGCCTGAACTTGTGGAAGCAATCTGGCTAAACCTTGATAAGCCGAACTACAAATGAAGTTGACGATGGTTAATGCTGCTTTTCTTTATACCCGAAATCAATAACTACTAATACTGACGGAGGTCTGTTGTCAGACATCTTCGGATTTCATTCCGTCAGCAGCATGGTCTTGTTTACAGCTTTAGTTTATGATTATATGATTCTTATATGTGGTAGAATTACCTATTGTTTTGCTGACCAAATTCTACGTTCAAATGTAAAGACTTGCTTTTTTTCCATGACTTTGTAAATTGGTTAAAATTCTCGGTTTCGCAAAACAATTACAAGCCCCTCAAACACAAAATAACACTTCTGAAGGAGAAAAAAAAAGGAGAGCACAATATATACTTGAAAATAAATGAGCCTGTCTATCGTCATCATCACGACCGCTAAAGAAACTCGAATCGAAATAAAGGCTTTATTCCGCTATACCCAAGACTTTTCGAACCCAAGTTGTTGCAAGTCTCCATGACATCACACCCGTGCACCCAAAGCATACTCAAGTCTCACTTGGCCTCATCTCAATGCGCTGCGGTGGGAACGTGCAGGAGAGCTTGACACGCATAAGCGGGTCTTCTCTCAAAGCACACGCACCTTCCCGAACATACATCCATGCTTCATGGTTCCTCTTCTTGTCACCGGCGACTCCATCTTGGTGTTTGATGTGGAGCATGTGCGGGTACTTAGAGAACATGGCATTGTTGGTGTACTTATAGGCTCGTTACCCAAAGCGCCACAGCAAAATGTATTTCTCGGTCTTCCGCTTCAGTTGAGCATCTACGAGGCAATTTGGCTGATTCAGGCTGGCTTTGCTATTCTTTTGGATGGTGCCAAATATAGCGAGTTTTTGGCTGGAACGAACTCACTGAGTCCTGCAGTCGTGTCTCTCCTGAACTCAGTTCAATATGCGGTCACTCTGGACACACATAAGCCAGAAGCAGATGCAGACCTTGGACCTTACACAATTCTGCCCCAATCCATGATCGAAAAGTACTGTACACCAAAATCGGAGTTTCAAAAACCTGCTGAGTTTTGGCATTTCTATTTTGCTTTCAAATACCTCCGTGAGTTACAGTATTTCATGATGCCGGGGCTTCGATTTGGCGGGATATTTGTCGCGTACCCAGGTGACCCGTTAAAGTTCCACTCTCACTTAATCGTCAAAGCTTTAAAGCCAGAAGAGGAAATAGATTTGCTTAAAATCGTAACCAGCGGCCGTTTGGCTACAGCAGTGAAAAAATCCTGGCTTCTTGTAGCGGAGAAAAAGAGGAACAATGAAGATGAAAAACCAAGTATGAAGGACTCCCCAGAGATGCTAGCGTTCTCCATTGAATGGGCAGGTTTTGGGTAAAAGAAAATATTGATACCTTACAAACAAGTCATTTTATAAGCCATAGAAAACTTATTTACAAACACAGCCGTCTTTAACACCGCTGTCACTTAGTTTTTGTGCTTACCTTTTCCACACATATGATGATGGCCATGCTTCTTTTGATCATGATCATTATCGTGGTGCTTCTTGTCATGGTCCTTGAAGGAAGCCTTGTCTTTTGTAATTTTACCCTCCTCGGCCGCCACAAATCTCTTGTACACGAACTTGTGAGTTGGTCTCAAAACGACTGACTTGAATTTGGTGAACAAAGAACCAGTTCCGTGGTTACCAGTATCACGGAGATGATATGTAGATGTACCGTTTTGGAAGTTGCTCTCATCCATCACCGTATTATCGTTGATCTTGAGGGTAGTCTCCTTGCCATGCACAAGATGAACATTCAAGTCAGTACCTTCTCCAACAATATCCTCAGATTGAATGAGCGTCAACGGGTACTTGAAAAGAAGATCGGTTTGATGGATAAGCTCATCATTGGTGTTGTCCATCAAGAAGAATGACTTGAATGACTTACCAACGTGAACGATTTTTGCAGACTTACCCAGTCTGCTGTATAGTTGAACACTGGAGACGTCACCCTTAGAAATGGAGGTCATCGTATTGTTTAACACAACGCCGTTTTTCAAGTTGTAAACAAAAGAACTGGTGATTTCGGCTCCAAACTCACCCCCGGCCACTTGTTGCAAGGATGAAGTGTATGGCAAAGAGATTCCGAAAGAATGGGCCTTCTTTTGGTCATCAATCTTGAGGATTTCACCCGATGACAGCAGGATCTCGGAATTCTCGTATGCCAATAAGTTTGCGCTGATGATCCAATCATTGCCAATGCCGGATGTCTCTCCCTTGACTTCGTCCAAGCCGTTGTCAACCAGAATTTTTAGCTCATGGGGCTGAGAGTCCCAAAGGAGAGGCAACAAACCAGAAATATCAAGATCCATGCTTGGCATATCAAATGCATCCACAGGAACCACAGAGTTCCACAAGGCGGGAGAGAACCCACCTGTGAAGATAAATGGTTGTGGGGTTTGCGAGGCCACCTTTTTGCCGTCTACCCATACGTTGACAAATCTGAGAGGCCCATGACCATGGAAAACTGTACCATCTCTCTCGAAGCGATGAGTGTATTTGTCTAAGACACTGTTGTACCAAAATTCTTCATGCGAATTACCGCTTGCGAAAACAGCCAACTTCAAGCGAGTGGTGTTATGAGAAACTTTTGGAAGTGATACTGAAAAATCCTGGTATGGTAGATGCTTAATAGGCGGGTACTCTGTGTCATTGCTTTCCACCAACGTGTAAACTTTGTCGGCTGCTTTTCGAGTTTCGAAGTATTTGTATGTTTCGTTAAGATACGTGGAGTTTCCGACATCATGGTCTGGGTCAGAGCGGAAGCTCTCGCTCCAGTAAAAGTCAGCATACAACTGAACATGGAAAACACCCGTCAACGTGCTGCCTACCAAGTTGTCCAATTGGAAAAGAACATCTGTATCTTCGTGAAATAATTGGGCATACTGCGAGACATCTTTCCTGTGAGTGGAAAATACGGACATATTGCCTGGCTCAACGGTGGAGGTTCTCCAGATTTCTGCACCACCGACGTAAAGATGTGCCAAGCGGTCATATTGGACGCCACTAACGGAAGTATTGAGAGTTAAAACCACTTTGTTGTATTTGATATCCTTTGGGGCAGAAAAATTTCTCAAGTTAGGGTGCCCCCATGAGTCAAATTCGTGGTCGATCAAGACGCTAGAATACACAGGCTTTCCATAGTTAGCCTTAGGCACGAATGGATAAGAAACTTCGAAAATCTCCCTGGGTTCAGCATTCTCGATTTGGAAAGAATTGACGTCAATGAAGCCTCCGTAGTTTTTCAATGTGACAGGCCCCGTGTAATTCTTGGGCAAACATAATTGTCCAAAATTGAAGCCAGCCTGAGAGAGAAGAAATGCCATGAAAGCAAAAAATCCCAAGAGCTTCATAACAACTCCCTTTTTGCTGTCTTTGACGCGAGGGGCCTCGTTATGAATACATTTCTCGTCACTAATCAACTCTTTCTCACTTTGCTTGTCCGGCTGCACGGATGGCTGCCACGAGATGCCATGCATCAATCTGTTCCAGACCGCACTATCTTTGGCTAAGTGTTGACTCATGGTTAATTGAATCAAGAAGCTCTATGGTCCGATGGCAAATCTATGGGAAGTTCGGTTTTGCCTCGTATTGGTAATTCGTGACACATGAGGCAAGGAGGCAAACTTATGCAGGAAACAGAGGCTGATCCGCGGATTTACATCGGGATTGCTGCGAGCAAATAACTGCGTTGCTAGGATAGTGCTAAATATAGGCCTCACCACTAGAGACGGAGCCGATCCCAGAATCTAACACTTGAAAGATCCAAAAACTTTAATCATGCTCAACCCCGTCGCAGTTATTTTTGTTTCACACGACGATACCCCGAAGACGGTCCGCCGAATCCTGTTGGCCTCTTAAGTACTCGAGAGTTCGGTCGAATAAATCCTTGATGCGTCTCAAGAGTTTTGCCTCCTGGTCATCGTCGACCCCAGACAAATGACTCTGCTCAAAATTGGCAAAATTTGTGCGGATCAAGTCGATCAAGCCGCTGATATATCGCGAATCCACCATGTAGTTATCGTAGATGTTGAAAATCAAAGACCGGTTGAGAATTTCCACGAAAAGCTTTAGCAGCAAGTAGGGGTCCATGCACGAGTCAGCCACGCGTAACGATTTTTGGAGGCACTCAAGGACACGCTTTGCATCTTGATAAAGTATGGGACCAGCAGCCGCGTCCGGCTCTGTCTTTTTATCTGAAGATTTTAGGTCTTTAAGTGAGTCGTCCTTTTCTTCTTTCTCATTTTCCGAGTGACCCGTCACTGCACTATCCTCGATCTTTTCCGACTCATCTTCCACCGTGGGAGATTTTCCATCTATCAATAGATCGCACCACCACCACAAATGAGCACACTGATAAATGGAACGGCATTGATCTTGTTTCTTCAACAATTTGGAGCCATAGAGCGTGATCTTCGTTATGAGCGTCTCGTAGTTTTTCTTACTAAAGTACCTCAGACTTGCTAAACGATTGGCGATCATTACCACCGACTGATAGGAGAGTGAACCGCCCATGGAGTCATGTGGATTTATTGCTTGCCCCTGGGATGATGCAAGCACAAGATTCTCCTCATAGACGACAAAGCATTGATTAAACAACTCGTAGGCGATGTTCTCCTGGCGTAGCTGGTCAGCGACACTTGCCAAATTCAAGTATAGTTTCAAAACAAGTTCTGCGCTGAACTGCTGGTGATGTTGGTATAGTTCATCTATAATGATGGAAATGTTTTTGAAATTGCTGCTGATCAACAACTCCAGCTGGTCGGCCCGATTCTTGCTTTTACGTGCCAAGTGGCGATATCCAGTGATTCTCAAGACATTGGTCATTATCGTGATGAGCGTGGGGTACGTGTGAACAATGTTCTCTGGAGACTTGCTGAGGTACTTTTTCTTCACGTAGAATAGGCTGGAGAGGCACTTGAACTCTTCTCTGTGTCCGATGGAGTGGAGAACCTTACACACAGTTTCTTGGACATGCAAAAACTCCAGTGTTATGAGCTTGTCTCCACCATCGATCTTGATGGTTTTTTCGATGCCCAAGGCTTTTGAGGTGGTCAACTGGGTGCCAGAAGCCTCGACAAGAACTTGCAAGTACTTGAACACATTATCAATGTCCTCGGGCGTGGTGAGAAGGTGCCATGGATCTTGCACTGAACCCAAGAGCTTCAGTGCAATTTCGCACGACAACTGTCTCTGCAAGAGCGGGTTTGTAATTTTGGAGAATAACTCGTAGAAGAATGGGAGCTCAAGCAAACTCTTGACCGATGCAAAGTGCTCGACAGGAGTCATCAAGAGTTCTTTCCAAGCGTTCTGGATGTCTTCCTCGGATCCGCCCAGCGCGCCCAGGGTCTTGAGATCCTGAGCGGCAAACAGGTAGATTTTGTCCAAGTTCAGCACGTTGGACCCGTCAAAGGCAAGCAACAACTTGACGAGCAGTTGGAGAATGGGAACAAGCTCTTCGCGTGGCAACGGCGGGTCTTGGGCGCGCAAGTTGGCGTAAAAGTCCCAGAAGGCCGCGAAGATACCGTCCACGGAGAACAGGCTGAGCGTTTTCGCGTCCTCAAGCGCAAGTTGGTCTGTGTTGCTGGCCAAGTCGTCCTTGGACTCGCGGAAGGTGACGAAGCGGCCGACCAAGGACGCCACAAAGTCGGATTTCTTGAGCATCGGGTGGAGTTTCAAGAAGACCTCGTTGAGCAACGAGTCAAGCGTGGCAAAGTGGTACTCGTCCGGGAAGATCTGGATCACCACGTCGATCAAGTAGCTCTGCGCCAAGTGGTCTTTGCACTGGATGATCTGCTCCGTGACAATCGGAAAGAGCTTGCTTTGGTAGTAGGCCGCGGCCGAGTAGTCGGGTGCCGAGAAGTCGTCGAGCACCTGCGAAAGCCGCACCAAGTTCAGGCCCACGAGGATCTTGAGCTCCTCTCTTTCACGGTAGCGCAAGTCCCGCTCGCTCAGGTGGCCCTGGTGCTGCAAGCGCACCCAGAGCTTGTTCATCTCAACGAAGTTGGTCACGAGGAAGTCCACGGTGTCGCTGAAATCCGGCATGCTGGCCAAGGGAAACAAGTCCTTTGTGCGCTGGCACAAGTAGTGGCGCAAAAACAAGCCGCGGATCGGGTGCTGGACACCGCGGCACATCTCGATCATGTCCTTCATGATGTCCTTGGTGGCGGCGTTTTCCACGGCCATGCACGTCGTGCCAATGGCGATCATGAGGTAGAGCCGCGGCACGATGTTGCCGGTGTACTGCACCAACTCGTAGAGGTCAGTCAAAAACGGCACGTCCTTGTTTTTCGCCTGCTTCAGCCTGTGCAGCTGGAGAAGATACCTGGAGAACGTGTCCAACGCGTCGTAAACAGCCATGTACAACTCGTAGTACTCTTTGGGCGAGAACGCCAGCGACCGCAATTCATTGAGGAAATCCACGCAGTTTTTGATGGCTTGCATGAGGTGGCCCTCGGCCAAGTTTGCCCGCATGAGTTTGGCCTGGTGCCGGATATTGCCGAGGCTGCTTGGGAGCGAGTGGGGGTCGGGCATTTCCGGGGGTTCTGTGAATGCACGTGTCTTTGTGTTTTTGTACCTCAGGGGTAATTTATGGGGTGTTCAGGGGTGTTTTGTGGGGTGTTCAGACAGCCTGTTTGGTGCTATTAGACGCCGTCTGGGAGGGCTGCCAATTGCGGTTTGGAAGCTGCTATGGAAATGCGGAAAAAGGCCAGGATGAATTTTGGCCGGGGGGGTGTCAAAAAGTATGGGGCTACACAGATTTATGGGGTTTGGGTGGGCGCCTAGATGAATAGAAGAATGAGTGGGTAGCATATTCTGGACTGGAACGCCCATGGCGATCGCGAGGGTCAAGGACCTGCACATAGCGCCTCTTTTTTAGGTCGCCGGGCTGTGATACAGACGAATGGTATTGGTATACTCTGTAGTTTTCTCTGCTAGGGTGTTTTTTGGCTTCAGACAAGCAAATTCGTTCCGGAGAATTTCTGTCTTTCATGCTTTGTGGTGGATATGGGTGGTTCCTTCTACTGTTGCGTGCTCTTACTACCGTACGGGTTATATGCATCTTTTCAGATTTGTTGATTGTAGGATTGGAAGGCCACAGTTGGGGACTTTTCTTGTTCTTGGCTTCGGAAACTTGTTTGACACGTTTGTACAGGCTTACTTGGTGAATATGTTGCTGTTGGAATCATACGTAATTCGCGCAGATATACTGAGGTGCTAGTATTAAACTCGTAATTGGACTGACCTTTTACTTTTCTAGACCATCGGATTATTGTGCGGGAAACCAAAAAGCCACCCATTTCTGGGCTTTGAAATATTAGGTCAGATATGTAGTTAGGCAGAAAGATGTGTCATGGTTCCAAACAACGCTCACACGAAACAGACCAAAGTTCAGATATGAGAGTATAGCTTTGATATGAGAAGAAGTACGGTTCTACAGAAAAAAATATGTTTGTTTACTGTTCTCTCTTACTGTGTGACCATGTCCTCCTTCTACTTGAAGGAAGTCCACCTTCGAAATATAAGAAAGCTTGTTCAGTGAATCGAAACTAATCACAGAAAATGTGAAGAAAACATATATGCTTGGGTAAATAATCGATCGACGTATACGGATCAAGCAATGTGTCTATTGCTTTCCCTTAAGTTTACTTTATTTTGCGTGACATTCCGGGGCTGTGGACCAGTTACCAAGATCTGACTGCAGAAGGGTTTTCCGACGAAATGCCCAAAATGAGCGTCGAACAAAGTCCTCTTACGAAACAAAAACATGTAATAGTTCAAGAAGTTCTTGAATCTTGCCAAATAATATCATGTTATGCGGAAACTGGTTCGAGTCATGTCGTACTATACCTGAATAAAGGCGAGAACATCAGATCTGCCCTTGATGTGACCGGACAAATTACCTGCCGATTGCTTTTGGCATGCAGATACTGAAAATGTCAGCCTCACGCTTCCCTCCTAATTGGAAATCATACTCACATACATATAGGACATGTGGTGAATCCAAAGTACGCCATCATGGGCAATAGCTATGAAGATCCCGATTTATCAAGATCATCAGCCTGCGAAAAGCTGGTAGTAAAACCAACTCAAAAGTAGCTGTTCGTATCATGGGGCTCAGAACAGGAGCTATGAAGAGAACCTAGTTTGGGTTTCGAAAAACTCATCGCCCACTTTGTTGCACCTATCTCTGATACACAAGTCATGCGAATATCTAGATGCGCTATTGCAAATTGATGAGGGTCGAACATAAGTTGAATTATATGAATTAACTTGTCTGGTGATGTTTTTTCCACGCATTGAGTGTAGTAAATTGACTGTTATTTACCAGTGTTGATACTTGACCAAAATTATATTTTGCTATGAATCGTGTGGAGTATGGGGTCATGTAAACATAAAATTACTGGGCTTCAGAGAAAGTTCATTATTGTATGCAGCCCCAAATTTATTCTGGAATGTTTTCAGTACTGATGTAAGCTAAGACACGATAAAACTTGATTTGACACACTCTCACAATTTTCTTACCACCACTGGGCGCCTGCAACCTCTTACTATACTTGAACACGAGATTGATTCCAAAGAAACAATTATTTACGGTTAGAGTTTGTTTTGAATGAATATGTGGCTTAATACTAAGATACCCACCTAGTTCTGTTTTCTACTTTCCCAAGTATTCTTGTTGAAATCATTCAATTGCAGCTAATTTCGATTGATTTATCTGCTTGCAGATACAGTATTCGAAAGGATATATAGAATAATTCTTAACCAGCTCTCAAATACCTAGTTAATGTTAAGCCCGGACAATCCCCTTATATTCATTACGATCTCAGTAGTTTCCTTTGTTTTCAAGACACATAATACTATGGGGTGCCCCTCGAGGAAAATCTCTTTAGTATAAAGCTTTCACCTCTGTTTCCGGGAGGCGGTAATCTTTAGTAAACATGCTTTTTTATTGAAGCATCATATTACAGGGTCTTTTTAGAGAGACGTCAAATCCCACCACAAACGAAAAAACTATTAAGAAAAAACCCATAATGGATCGCAACATTGGCTCAGGTGAGAAGGCGCGAGCATCGATTCACGAAAGCTCCCAAAGAGTATGTGAGTTCCCCTTAAAACGACTTCTGACCATAAGTAGTGTCAGCCACTTGAATAATAGGAATGAAATCCTGTAGGATATGTGTTCCTATAGTTCATTTGACGAGCAGGCAAGACGTACATTTGTCTTTGCTTCCTACCCTGAGCAAACGTACCCTTAGAACGACTTTGAAAAACCAATCAAGATTTTGCAGATTGTCAAATGAAGTATTTGAAGAAGCCATCATCTCCCTAAAGTGCATTGGAGCTTAAAAGCCGATCTTTTGTCACCAAAAGTTCCCAATCTCTCCTTCATTGTAGAAGTGGATTAGCTTCTGATAACTAGAACAGAAGTTTGCAAACATAAATTGCATTTAAATCCCTCCATTTTCATGATCATGAAAGGCAATATAGAAGCCGTGATCTTTGAGGAAAAAACAGTGTCATCCTGAAGCAAGGAAAATGCAAATCTTCTCTATATTGTTTTTTTTTTTTTTTTTTTT